TGAGGCCAGCCTGGTCTACAGGGTAAGTTCCAGGACAGCCAGACCTTCATAGTGAAATCTTGTCTCAAATACACAAACAAGCAAGCAAGCAAGAAGCAAGTTGTGCCAGGCACAGTGGCACAGGCCTGTAATTACATCATTTAGAAGACTTCGGCAGGAGGATCACCTGAGTTCAAGGTTGCCCTGGTCTATAAATTTCCAGGCAAAAATAAAACAAGGCTGGACATTCTTAATGCATTTTTTTTTTAACTCCAGCACTTGGGAGCCCAAGGCAAATAGCCTGGTCTACAGATCAAATTCCAGGCCGGCCAGAGATTCATGGTGAGACCCTCTCTCAAACAAACAAACAAACAAACAACACCAAACAATCCAACAACAATAATGAAATAAGACAATTTGTACCTTATATCATAAAACTGATTCCCTTTTGTTTGCCCAGGTCTGAAAATCACAGTAACAGAAGGACAATGGCCTTGGGTTCTTGCTGTACCTGGTCCCCTCCATTTCTGCCCAGGTTGGGATCTCTGGGACACTCCAGTTCTGAGCACTGCCCTATCTCCTCCAAGAAGCTCTTCTGCTCAAATTGACTGAATTATTTCTATGGTTTGCAGCCCAAACTCTTTACTAGGACACAGGTGTTCACTGTGACCCCAGCTCTTAGCAGGTTTTAAGCACTGAGTGAATGTGCCATGGGAACGGCAAGACAGCCCAGGGACAATTTAACTGCTGCTAGTCACAACAACTGTCCATCATGCTGTGACTTGCCTGATGTACGGTACAGCAGGCTCATGGGGATGAGGATTAGTGGGTGTGGTGGGCATCCTGGACACACAGAGATGGTCCCTGTTGGGTGATGTGATGAGGCTGAGAGCTTGCTGGGTACTGTGCTTAGTGCTGCCTATCTCCCAGATAACAACCCTACTGAGGGAGACCATGTTACAAGCTGTGCCTGAGAGAAGTGGGTTAGCGATGGCGCACCACACAGTGGAAGATTACTTAATAATAAAAAGAAAAGAGCATCCTGGGTATGCTGGCAGAAGGCTGCCTGTAATCCCAGCCCTGGAGAGCTACACAGTGAGACTCTGTCTCCAAGAAAGAACTAGCAAGCCACAGAAGGACAAGAGGAAACTTGGAAGCATAGTGGTGGGTGACAGAAGGCTTCTCTCTGAGACAACAGAAAGATCAGTACTCACCCCGGGGCTAAGGGGAAGGAAGAACCAGGTGGAACACAAGGATATTAGAGCAGCCACCCTATTCTATATGACCCAGGAATACCCCATCTGTCAAACCCCAGAGGCTGGACCAAGCAAATCCTCACTCTGGTCAGAAACAATGTAGTGACACTCACTTATCAACTGTCCCAAATTGCCACAGTAACATAAAATATACAAAATAGGGAGTGTGAGGAGAGGAGGGCAGAGGAAAGGTGTCTGGGAACTAAGCTTTACAACCAACTTCTCTAAAGGCTAGAATAGATATTTAAAAGTCTATTAATCACACACACATACACACATGCACACACGCACACACACACGCTCGCGCACACACAGACACACACAGTCGATCAAGCTCACACAGATAATCTCAGAAGAGTCCATTTGAAATCAATGGTACGAAATACAATTCAGGCTACATTTGCAGTAGCCCCCAGATCCAGGCTACCTCTGCAGTAGCCCCAGGGTGGGCCAGTCCTCAGTCTAGTCCTGTCTACATCCTTGTCACCACAGAAGACAGCAGCCTGTGCCTCCCAGTGCAGAGCACTGTGTTTTGGTTGGCATCAGGGACGCCCAGGCCAGGAACTGGAAGAGGAAACCTTCAAGGGTGCCAGGGCTGGGGGTAGGGCCTGGCCTTCTCTATGGGCTGCCAGGCCCCAGGGAAGGAAGGACACACTGGGAAACATCTCCTCCTTGGTCTTGGCTGCATCTACTGCAGCTCAACCCCAGCCAGGCCCAGCACTGGTGGTCTGTGGTTAAGCTTGGCCACCTCCGTTTTCTGTGTGACCACATCTCTATCCTTGCATTCTTACTGAGATAGTAGGGCAGAGACTCTCAGTCTCCAGAGGCTTCTTCAGCACTCAATTCCTAACCCTCCTTAGTTACCAGCTTTCTTTTTATCCTGGGGCAAACCAGAGCTGTGGCAGCTCAGGGAGGACAGGACATCACACAACCCTTCCTGTGAATGAAGGAAGAGCCTCTCTATTCTCTAGGCTAGCGTTGAACATGAAGAACCTGTAAGTTCTACACGCCTGGAGGCTTTGAAAAGCCCAACCACAGCAATGTGACGCTAACTATGCCTACCAGCCTTGCCCTCCACCTGAGGCGGCCCTAGGTTTCCACGGCCTGGCTTCATCAGATGGCCTCCATAGAGAGCTGTCACCATCTTCCTGTGTGATCTTGGGAAAGATGCTCAGCCTCTCTGGATCTCAGAGACAGCCCTAAATTGTGGTGAATGAATAGTGAAGTAACTAGACCTAGGGCAGGAAAGAAATCTAGGTCCCCAGGCAGCGGGAGAACCTGGCAGGCAGACAGAAGCACGTGGGAGACCTTTCAGGTTTAAAACAAACAAACAAAAGGCCAGGTAGGCTTCACCCCATCACATCTGCTCTCTGTTTGGGGAGAAGTATCTGAGTGGGGGAGGGCTGCAAGCCAGAGCCCTCAAAGAACTAATCATGCCATAATTAGGGTCATTAAGAATCTTCTGCATGATAATGCTAGGGCCTCTTGTTTACCCAACTCTGTCACAGGAGACTGCTGGCTCTTCTTCTGGGAAAGAACTGGAGGCCAAGGAAGGCCAGGTCTTCCCAAAAGTGTGCCTCTTCAGGGGGAGGAAGGCCAGGCCTTCCTATACATGTGTGCCTCCAGGTCAAGGAAGGCCAGGGCTTCCGATACGTGTGCGCCTCCAGGTGATCCAGTTTTCCCAGTTCCCCAGGCATTCTTTTCTCCTGCCCCTTTTGTCACAGATAAGGGTGGCTTTCTCCGGAGGCCTCAGCCTGTCCTGCCCTCAGGTTCTGAGCTCTGTCACTGGAATTTTAAAGGCTTCCACTGAGGTCAGGGGTGACTTCTAGACAGCTAAAGGTTCATCTCTATGGTCCTCCTTCCCTCAAGATGGCCTCAATGTAGCAAATGCAGTTCACAAAGAGCTTCCATGCCTGTCATCCTGGTGAGGTGTCTCACCGACTTCCCAGGTCTTATCACGATCTTAATTTCACAAACATCATCAGTGAGAGGAACAGGAAGCTACCTGAGACCTCAGATGTTTGGAATCACAGATTCTGAGCTTTGGCATTGGGCAGAGCTCTCCTGTTTCCTTCCCTCCAGTGTATCAACTGGGAAGTCTCCATCTCCGCCTCCTCCTGCACCAGGCAGGAGGCAAGTCACTGACCACTTTATCACCTCTGTGCCCTGCCTCTCTCCCCAGCTCCCATCCACAGTAACACTCGGGCCTGTGCAAGCCCTGGGCTGAGCCACCCTGTCCCCAAGCCTCTGCCTCAGCCTTTGGGCTCACAAGGACTGGCCAAACCCTGGAGAGCCATTACTGACCTCAGGACTTGGTCATCAGCTACTTCTGTCCAGATCCCGGCCTCTTGTGGCCACTTATCTGAAGCCCCAAGTATCTGCCACCCTGAACCCCATGATAGGGACACAAGACCACAGACCTTTTCCTGCCAAGGAGTCACTGTATGGGGGACCTGGTGTCACACACTGGGTCAGGCATCAAGCAGACGCATTTTCCAATGGGAAAAACTGGTTAAATGTGTAACACAAGAGAAAAATAAAAACCAATCTGTTTTTAAAATCAGTGGCCCACATGCATAATGTCAGCTCAGGCAGGATAGAGTTCAAGTCCAGCCTGGGCTACACAACAAGATTCTGTCTCTAAATAAATAAACCAACCACACAGCTACAGAGCTATTCCTAAATCTAAGCTGAATTCTGCCTTTGAGTAATAATAATTAGTTGTTTCCCAACTTATAGGAAAATAATTACATTGCAAAAAAAAACCCAAAACAAAAACAAAAGCAAAAACAAAAACAAACAAACAAACAAACAAACAAAAACTCAAATTAGGCACTTTTCTCCTGCAATTTTTTCTTAAGCTTCTGGTATCAGCAGGTTTGCATGCTTCTATACCAGGTCTGGTGAGGGTGACCTCAGGCTGTGCACGGGTCCTCTTCCTCTGAGGTCCCCTCCCCCATCATCTCCTCCCTGCTCCTCCCCCTCCCACCCTCCTCCCATTGTTACTGTCCCTCTTTCCCACAGCATTCTGCAAAGAGAAGCAGTCTCACTCGGCCTAGGCATGTCTCAGAACATGAGGCCTAAACCTGTCTTCACCTTGTTCAAAGGTCCAACGCTCTTTTTGGGGAACATCTTTTAGTGAAAGCCTTAACTGGCTGTTGAGGAAGAAATTCCCAGGAGTCAGCGGGCCCCCCTCAGGGCTCAGGGCAGTTCTATGGTTCAAGCCTCCAGTCCCACCATTTGCCACTTCATTCCCTTGAGGGAAGCACAGCCTTCTCTGGGCACTCTGTCCAGATGAATCCTCTCTGAAGCTGTGAGCCCATTAAAAGCCTCAAAGTGGGGTTCAGAGGGGCAGCTAATATGAGCCATAGAGAGTCCGTGCACAGCGGCTGGAGATGAGCCTACACTGCTTAGGTTCAAAACCCAGATTTCCCACTTAGCTAACTGGGCAAGTGACCTAATACTTCAGCTTCCTGATTTATAGCATGGGGATAATGGCATCAACCTCGTGGGCTGTTACAAGGATTAAATGAGTTACTACATCAGACAAGACCTAGAATGCAGACCCCATACACGGCAAGAAGCCCCTTTTCTTGACACTGTACTTACCTTATCTATAATAGGACTACCATCCTGTTTCTCCTGATTCTCTTCTTCCCCCAGGGAGAAGCAAACATTGTTTCAGAAGCGGACAGGGGCAGTTCTCTGTAGCCTGCTTCCACTTCCTTTCCCTCACCCCACTTCCTCCCATTCTCCTTTCTTTACCTGATAGCAGGTCCAGGCGGCTATGGGCTGCACTCCAGGGGTGTCCCGTCCACAGAGTGATGTCACTTCAGTCGAAGAGCTGAGGAGACAAGGCAACGAACTCACCTCCAGCTCCCACCCAGGATCTTCCCTCCACACCTAGCTCTAGTGAGGCATGCCCTGGTACTGCCCCCCACTAATGCTGCCCACCCCATGCTGGAGGTGGACCCACTGATGGGTAGGTAACCCCTAGTCCCAGGTGAATTAGGGAAGCTATAAAGTTGGTAGCCGACCAAATCCTGGGCCCTGAGACACATGGTCCCACTTCCATCCCTGCAGGCCAAACCCAGAGAACCTGCTCCTTGAACACCCATGCCCCTTGCCAGGCCCCCAAGAGAAGAGGCTGCAGGTGCAGCTATGCTGGGATGCAGCTCTTCATGCTTCCTCAGGAGCTGTGGGACCAGCTGTTCTCTCAAGGAAGCTGCCAGGGGAGGGCTAGTGGGATCTGGGGCACCACAATTATGTGCCTGGTTCTGACTCATGCACTGCCTCCTTAGCAGCTCTCACAGTCAGCGGGACAGCCCACCACCACCCACCACCCAGCAGCTATGAGGAGGGTACAGGAAGGGGCCTCAGGCCAGCATTTCAGGCTTTAGAGGACATGGATTGCCACCTTGCCCACTCAGGGACACCAAGCCTGGCAGGGCCAGGGCCTTCCTGTGTCACAAAGGGCAGCAATGGCTCAGGCCTGAGCCCTGTCAGTTTGACAGCTCTTCCCAACCCACTCAGCTCTTGGAGCCAGCATGAAGTACACAGTCAGCCAGCCTCAGAGTGGGCAGGCGGGGTTGGGTCCAGAGACAGCATCTAGACACAGAAACAAACAACCCCCCCAAACCCCCAATTCAGTCCTCGGGATGTGACGCACTTTATAGTTTACAAAGCACTCTTATTGACACAGGCCTGTTAATGCAAGCCTGTAAACCTAGCTAGTCAGGAAACCAAGGCAAAAGGATCAAAAAGTTCAAGGCCTTGGGCTTACAGAATGACTCAAGGCCAGTCGGAACAACTTAGTGAGATATCTCAAATATTTTACAAGTTAAAAGAAGGTTGGGGGTTACAGCACTCACCAAGGCCCTGGGGCCAAGTGCCCCCTACTCCAGAAAAAAAAAATAGACCAAATAAAACCACTTATTTCCTTTATCTACCTCAGGGATGGATCCTCAGGCTTGAGGCAGAGGGATGTAAACAGAACAGGGTGGCTCAGACTTGAGAGTGCCAGGGTCTACTGTGGGGGCCTGCTGTGAGCTGCGGTTGGCCTCAGTATGTCTGGTTTGGGCCTGGGGTTCTACATGTCCATGACACTAATGAAGCCTGCCCACTAGCCTGTGTATGGCAGTAACTAGCTGCCATGTGTAAAGCACCCAAGTGAGACTTAAAACAGAGATTCTGGGGGCTGGAAAGCTCAGTGGGTAAAGGCACCTACTACTGAGCCTGCTAACCTGAGTTTGATCTTGGGGACATTCAGAGTAGGAGAGAACTGACTCCACAAGTTGTCCTCCTACCTACCTACCTACACATACACACACACACATCATACACATACCACACACACCACACATATGCACACACACACATTAAAATGCAACAAAATTTTCTAAAAAAAAAATAAAGCATAGGCCCTAGGAAGTGGGCACACCCAGCAAGGTGGCAAACTTCAAATTAACCCCAAAATACTTCCCCCACCCTTTTTTTTCAATCTACTGAGACAGAGTCTTATGCAATGGCCCAAAACTTGAAGCAATCCTTCTGCCTCAGCCTCTTGAGGGTTAGGATTATAGCAGAAAGTCAACCAGATGTCTATTTTCATTTCTCCTTTAATAGTTTTTCCACTGTGTAGTTTTGCTGTGTGTAGTTTTTAAATTTTTCTCATGAATGTGTGTGTGTGTGTGTGTGTGTAACATACGTGTGCATGGGTCTTCATGTATGTAGGCCAGTTTGGCTAGCTAGCTTGTTCCAGGGTTTCTTCATCCCTGCCTCCTGAGCCCTAGAACTACAGTCAGGCCTCCATGCGTGGCAGCCAGGTTCACATGGGTCCCGGGGATTCAAACTCCAAGCCTGATTTTACTCCACACTTTACTGTTTAGAGACTGGGTCTCACACAGCTCAGCTGACCTCAAGCTCCCTACTGAGTTCCAGATGATCCTGCACTTCTGGTCCTCCTGCCTCTAACTGTCAAGTGCTCGCTCTGATGGCCTGTGTGTGCCACCACTCACAGTGATACAGTGCTAGGATTCGAACCCAGGACTTTGTGCATGCTAGGAAAGCACTCTACCAACTGAGCCCCACAATCCACGATCTCTTGGGATAAACCCTTCAGTACTGAGTTGTATAAAACATCATTGTCAGCAGAAGACATTGGACACACTTGGGTGTGGAGGCACAGAGAAGGGGCAGGGCACCCATGTAGTCACCAGAAAGTTGTTGTTAGAGATCCAAGCATGGAAAAGAAAGTGTGATGGACCCTCACGGAGGTGTCTCAGCTGTCTTATAAACTCCACCTGGGCTCGTGGCTACCATGGAAAGCAGATGAGAGATGACTGGATTCAGAGGCTGTCTACTCTGATCTCACTGCAGCCTGTGCCCACCAGGCAGACCAAGACAGAACAGTCTTGCACCTGAAGTAAACCAAGATAGTCTATTTCCCCGCTCTGACTGAGCCATTGGCTTAGTCTCTGGTCAGCAGGTATGGGGCCAGGCTAAGGGTGACATGCCCAGGCCTGGCCCCAGCCCCACCTTCACTTCCCAGCACAAGGACAGTGAGAGCCAGTGAGTCACTTGAAGGAAGTTCTGAGCCTCAAACAGGAAGTGGCTCTTCAGTCCAAAACCCCTCCAGAACAAAAGCAGTGGGGGAGGCTGATGGCTGAAGGGGAACAGGTGGGACCCAGCAACACCTGCTAAGACTTCACTCAAGCTTCTCCTCCCTCACCAACACCACTCAACAGGCCCCTGACAAACCTGAAGAACCAAAGGGGTGTCTCTGCCTAGATGCCTGTCCATTGTCTGCTGAGAGAAATACATGCTGCTACTGCTGGTGTGTGTGCCTGTATGTGTGTGAGTGTGTGCTCACAGGTGTGTGTGTCTGTGTATGTGTCTGTATGTGTTCTCATGTGTGCTCATGTGTGCATGTATATGTGTGTATGCGAGTGTGTGTCTGTGTATGTGTGTATCTGTGTATGTGTCTGTGTCTCTGTGTGTGCTCATGTGTACATGTCTGTGTGTGTTTTCTTCTGGTTGCATTTTATTCATGTGGTGGAGAAGTACTTGGTACTGGAGAAACATCTTATAATATTTAACTTTTTGTTTGTTTGGTTGGTTTTTTTTGTTTTTGAGACAGGGTTTCTCTGTGCAGCCCTGGCTGTCCTGGAACTCACTCTGTAGACCAGGCTAGCCTCGAACTCTCGAACTCAGAAATCCGCCTGCCTCTGCCTCCCAAGTGCTGGGATTAAAGGCGTGCGCCACCACCGCCCGGCAACAATTTTCATTGTGCTCATACAACAGAGAATGAGATCCTCACTCTTTAGAAGAAATATATATTTATTTTACGTATTTAGTTTGTGTGTGCAACAGTGTAAATGCAGTAGTCAGAGGACAACTTGTGGGTATCAATTCTCCTTCCCCACCTTGTGGGTTCCCGGGATTATAACTAGGCACCACCACACTTGTCTATTTAGTTAGTTTTAGGAGTGCTAGGTATTAACCTGGGGTCTTGCGCTTGCTAGGCAAGCAATCTCCCCCTGAGATATATCCCCATCCTGTATTTTTTTTTTAAGTCAGGGGCTTGCTCTGAACAGTTGGCTTAGTCTCTGGTTACCCGGTGTGGGGCCAGGCTAAGGGTGACATGACACAGACACATGCACATGCGAGCACACACTCACACACACACAGTGAGCACACACTCACACACACACACACACACACACACCAGTAGTAGCAGCATGTATTTACCCAGGTGTTCATTGGGCATGTGATCTTGGTCTTCAGCCTCTTATGGAGTTGAGCTTGCAGGAACTAGCCAAGCTAGGGAATCTAATTTTATAATCTTGTACTAATTAGGACGTAGGTGGTTTAATTATAATAAATGTATAACAACAACTTCTGCAAAGATAAAATAAAATCTCCTGTATTCGCATTCACCCTAGTTTACATTTTTGACAGAAATATCAAAAATTATCAAACTTCACATACTGTGTATGTGAATGTGGCACTGGTAGTCGAGACCAAAGCTGTGTAAAACGTGACAAACTAGTGCTCTGCCACAGTGCCACACCCCCAGGCTCAGACTCTGTTGCCTTTGCAAGATACCTGCACCTTGTTTTTAACCCTTTAAATCACTGCTGCCAATAGAACACAAATACCATAGAAACCCGTGCTGAAGTGAAGAGTAGTGTTTTCTGAAACAAATAGAAGAGCTCTCAGCCCTCACCTTAGCCTCAGCAGGCGTCAGCAAAACAAGGAAACACTCTCTCTGAGGGAGGTCTGGTTCAGTGGGTAAAGCACTTGCTTTGCAAGTGTGAGGATCTGAGTTCAATCCCCAGGACCTACATAAAGCCAGGCCTGGTAACAGGCATCTGTAATCATGGCTCTCTTGCAGTGAGGTGGGGGGTGGGGGTGGGGTCGAGAGAATCCCCAGAGGCTCACAGGCCAGCTGTGCTGGTTGGACAAGAGTGAACTACAAAAACAGACAAAAAGACATTGTCTCAAGCAAGACACTGCTCGAAGTTGAGGACCAATATCCACGGTGTCCCCAGACCGCTGTGCATGCGTGCATTCTCACGTGTGCGCGCACGCATACACACACACACACAGACATGCACAAATGCACGCATGCACACACACATTGAAAATAAGTGAAAATAGACACTCAATATTTTGACACCATACGTCATGAAACTGTCACTTTACACATGTAGTTCTGTTCCTATAAGGAAGACATGCTTGCCACGAAAAGGGATCCTACTGGCAGTAGGTGATGCTGCCGCAGGCAAGCCTCAATGGTTCACTACAAATCGAGTGGCTGATATTACCAGAGCATTCCTGAGT